TTCTAATTATTCATTTTTAGAACATAAATGCTGAACCACTTAAAGCTTTTTCTTCCAATAATTGACTTGGTAGATATATATCTACAGATATACTGATACATTAGACAGGAATACTCTTGTAGCAAAAGGATCAAGTGAAAATTTTCTGCGCATTCATACTTTCCAAGAAAGTACCTACTGTTTTCGACGATGTGTTTTTTTCTCAGTTTGTTCCCACGAATGAATATCAATATTTTCACAGAAAACTGAAAGGTTTCTATTAAAAAACTTTTTAATATTCATTTTTAGAACATGGATGCTGAACCACTTAAAGTGTTTTCTTCAAATAATTGATTAGGTAGATATATATCTACAGTACAGATATACTGATACATTAGACAGGAATTCTCTTGTAGCAAAGGATCAAGTGAATCTCTGTGGAAGTCTAATGTTTTGCTTCAAATATGTATGTCTTAAAATATTCTTGGCTTTAGTTATTTATTCCCATGACCTCATGGGACATCGTTCTCTTACTTCTGTGTAACTTAAAAGCACATGTGCCCTGATGCGAGGAACAAACGATGTATACATGGCTCCATTAATATTCGTTAGCATAACCTTTAACATTTCAGTTGCTGCTCACTGTTTGGAAATTTAAACTTAACTAAGATTTTGCGCAGGGCTATTTCAGCGTGTTATCAGCGGTATCTTCTATCTGTGATGTCCATATGTTTGACTGTCCTCCCTTCACAGGTTTTATTATCGGTTTAGCTGTCATTGTTCCTGTATGCCTGAAATGCTGCCGATGTGAGGTAAACGTTAACTTATTTACTATTTCGTAGAATATCCTATTTGCTTCTTTTCAGTATTTCTTTTTCTACTAGTTGATTTCAGCGTATGCTTAAGATAATGTAACTGAGAGCGACATAACCGTTTTCATTATCATAAGAAATCGATGCTAAAAGCATAGTCGATTGTACGATCCCGACTATGTCATAAGCTGAGCACGGGGTTAAACAACAAACCAACCAACCAATCATAAGCATTTATTTATGAATCATTATAAAATAGCAATGATACCAGGTATTCGCGAAAAGATGAACGTTGATAATTGAAATAGTTATATAGCACCTTTTTCTATGGGTCTTTCTGTGATCTAATGTGATTTTCAAGAGTACAATCATACTGTTAGACTGTTTTGGCGTTCAACTGCACTCTAACATAGTATGACGTCATAGTGCAATCTAACTTTGTGAGTCACAATAAGGCGCATGACATTGTGTACTAGCTAGCTAGCTAGATAGATATATAGATAATAAGTATAAGTATTCTACCATGACATTGATGAATGCTTGATTCTGAATGGTTAAAAAGAGGTTTCCTTTTTGCTCCGGAATACATTAAGTCTTTTCATACAAAAAAACGTGCGCATAAATTGCTGCCGATCGATCACCCTTATATATTTGTTTTAATTTGAAGTTTACGCGATATACGGCTTTTCAATTGGACGGGAGGTCCTTCACCTGATTGCGAAATTGACGTTCTTGACGACACAATTCATACTTTGCCTTAGTGTCTATTTGACACATCTTTAAACACCTTTCAATGTTCGGCCAATTGATCAATGATGACAAAGAAATATAACCGCCATGGGTTCATTATCATCTTCCGAAATCTGTACCGTCACGTTTATCGCGTTAGCCATTTGGACGTCTTGTACTTTATGTATTGAGTGAGTGAGTGAGTTTAAATTTAAGTGACATCGGCAATATTGCAGCCATATCGTGACTATCAAGTGTTAAACATGCTAAATGTTTTGAAACTTATATAAAAACCTACCAACAAAGGACAGTAAAATAACTAGACTTATCACAGAAAAGTATATAAAACTAAACTAGTGTCCAAAAGAAACGATACCAACTTATTTTCAAAATTGTTGTTAACTAAGTGAATTGTCTAGTATGAAAACATGCCAATTCGTATTGCACATCCCAAACACAGCATAGTCGATAAAAAATACCGGGAACACGTGATCACTTCCGGGAAAAAACGTAAATTTCGTGAAAGTGACATTTCCCTCTCTAGCATGTTCTGCACGTGCATAAAAACTGTATAAAACGGCTGATCAGACACGTTGATATCACAGCAACAAAAAGAACACAAGATATGCCACGTTTGACAGCCATCGAGCGAGAGAGAGCCGTTGGAATGGTCCAACAAGGAGCGTCACACGTCGACGTCGCCAGAAGGTTGGGCTGCGCACGCATCACTATCACCAGGTTGATGCAGCGGTTACGTCAGACAGGTCAGACGTCAGACAGGCCCAGGAGTGGAAGACCACGAGTAACCACGCCCCGTGAAGATCGTTACATCCGGGTAATACACCTGAGGAACCGCACCGTAACAGCGACGTCCACGGCGGCTACAGCACTGGGACACAGGATCAGTCGACAGACCGTCTACAGGAGACTACGGCAGTATGGTATCCGGCCAAGTCATCCCTACCGCGGACCGCTCCTGACGCCTCGACACCGGAACAACAGACTGATCTGGGCCAGGCGAGTTCGACGTTGGCAACGGCGGGACTGGGCACGTGTTATGTTCTCTGATGAGAGCAGATTCCTCATCTTCAGAAACGATGGACGGCATCTTGTATACCGACGATTTGGTGAACGTTTGGCGCCTAACTGTATCCAACAGGTGCGGCCGTTTGGAGGTGGAGGGTTAATGGTTTGGGGTGGCATATGTGGTGACGTCAAAACGATGCTTGTCGTAATTCGTGGAAACCTGAATGCACAGCGTTATCTTGATGACATCCTACGGTCTGTTGTGGTGCCCTTTATTCAGCAACAGCCTCGTGGACTCCTTTTCCAACATGACAATGCAAGGCCACACACAGCAAGACTGTCACAGAACTTCCTTGCCAACGCCATCGTACAGGTTTTCCCATGGCCCGCATGTTCACCGGACATGAATCCCATCGAGCACTTATGGGACCACCTCGATCGGCAAATCCGACGTCGCCGTGTGCCTCTAGTCAACGTCCAGGACTTGGAACGATGTCTCCTCGAGAAATGCCAACGCATCACTCCCAACGTCATCAGACGTTTGACGTCATCAGTCCGTAGGCGTGTTCTGGCATGTATTGATGCTCACGGTGGACATACCCGCTACTGACTTGACTTTGAGACGTGTGGTGTGACATTTCCCGTTGTTTCCGTGATCAGTGCTCTAACGAAATGTTCATTTTTCGACCCCACCCATCTTTTAAGGCATGTCATATTGGTTGTACAGATTTTATTGAAATGAAATTTTTGTACAGATGTTGTGAAGGGATTTCTCAAAAGCATAACACCAATCCTTAACTTCTGCATTGTTTAGTTTTTCTTTTATGTCGTTGCAAACAGGTGGTATCTTTTCTTTTGGACACTAGTTTAGTATGTAATTTAAAAAAAAAGTATACATAACAATAACATGATAAAAACGGGCTAGAGATGAAGGTAGATCACCATACTGGGGCCATGGGGACTTACAGGACCTTTGCTAGCTGCAGGGACCCCAGCAGGCTTTACACCATCCCTTCAGTGGCTGTCGATTGTACGCAATTTAGCCATCAGTTAAAAGAAACGAATATACTACGTTTAAAAATGTGGTGGTTTGAATATACGTACTTTAAGGATGTGGTCTTACGAAACCTCTCAGGGGGACAATAAGTTTACACTACTTCAACCCCCCTTGAGGATATAGCCACTAACCATCAAAGTTACAGAATAAACACTACCAAAATTATCAAAAAATAACTAGCTGCACAATTCAAAATGTATCAATGAGTTATATTTCTTTTAAAAATCCTATAATTAAATGACAACTAATACTATTACAAAAATCCTTAAGAGATGATGATTTGAAATATTTATCCCTTGTGATGGCTAAATCAATACCGTCAAGCAGGACATGCTTGACCGTGATTCTCACATGACAAGTGATACAAAATGAAGGATCCTCACCTTTCAGAAAATCTTCCTGTGTATATCTGCTATGGCCAGTGCGACATCGTCGCATAATGACCTCTTCAATGACTGACAGCCCAAGTAGGTGTAACCGATATTTGGTTTAATTTCATGTAATTTATTGATACCTACCTGGGTGTCCCACTTCTTTTGCATCAGATCTCGGATGTAACATCTGATGAGAGGTTTGATATCGGTGTATGGGATACACAGTGGTGTCACAGATTTGCTTAGTGCCCCTCTCGCAGCAGCATCAGTGATTCCAACATGGCTGGGTAACCAACAGAAGACGATGTCGCATTGGCCAGTAGCAAGATCAATCAGCAATTCAACAATTTATATTATAAGTGGATGCGTGGATGATATGTTTTTAATAGCCTGGAGGCAAGAAAGAGAATCTGAAAATAATATGAACTGTTTATGTTTAGATTGTCTATTGATGTATTTAAGTGCTTTTAAAATAGCATTTGCTTCTGCTGTAAAAATTGAACAGTTATCTTGTAATCGGGAGGCGATAATCCTGGATCCAATGACGGTTGCGTTGGCAACAGCCTCAGGCCTTGATGGTAAATAGGATCTAGAATTTTTAAATTGCTTTTACAAGCTCCACCATAAATGATGTTGCCATAATCTAGTTTTGAGCGGACAAGTGCTCCGTTTAGTTGAAGGTGGGTTTTCCTATCTCCTCCCCATTTAGAGTTTGAGACAACTTTCAGTAAGTCCAGGGCTTTTAGACATTTTTTCTTCAAATATATAATGTGAGGCAGAAAAGTCAAATGGTAATAGAAAATTATACCCAGGAACTTAGCTTCTTTTACAACCTTAATAGGCGTGTTATCTAAAAATAGCTCCGGATCTTTGTGTGGTCAATATATTCTACAAAAATGAATACAATTTGTTTTAGATTTTGAGAACTTAAATCCATTTTCAAAAGACCATTTTTGGATTTTATTTAAGGTATTCCTTGTATAATGGGACACTTCCGGTGAAAACTACGACTTTTGTCGGCAATGTTCGGGTGATGTAATACCGAGTAAGAGTTATGCCCCTTATTGTAAACAATCATGGCGACTGACAGAGATAGCTGTGGTCGATTCAAAAAGAAAAAGACCGGTAATCACACCAAAATATTAAAATCGAACGTGCTCATCGACCACAACTACCCAGCTTGTCATGTTTGCTACGGTGATCCTTGCAAGGACGACGACTGTCCTCTTTTTCGAAACATCAAACTCGGCAAATACGCAAGCAGAGATGGATGGAAAGAAGGGCGGAGGATCGTCGAGCTCGGGGAACTTCTCTCAAATCTCGTCGCTTGCAAGTACTGCAAATTGGGCCCTATTCCATTAACGTATGGGAATATTGTCAGTGAGATGAGGAAAGGACTTAGCGGCTATTTGTACGTGAAATGTCAGAACGCGGAATGTGGGCAAATAAACATGGTTCCATACGGGAAGACACACAGGGAGAAGAAGGGGAAGTCAGGGATGCCATGTTTTGTTATCAACACAAAGCTTGGAACAGGTAAATTTTATTTTTGTTTTACATTTAATGACCAATAAAATGCTATCATAAAGTTAAAGCACAAATATCGTCCTGTTTTCGATCAGATATTTCAGTGTCATGTCTTTCTTAATGTTCATGTCACGATGATAGCAGATGTTTTATTAATGTCTTATGTTTGCAATGTTGTCTTATTTTATCAACAAAAGGTAAGTATAAATGACAAAAGGTAAGTAAGTATAGTAAGCTTTTTTCCAGTATGCTTCAACATGGGAAAAGGGTCAGACATTGCAGGCTTGTGACAGTTGTCCTTGTGTCTTGGGGGTGGGGGGGATGAAATTTAAGGCAGTATTGCTCCCAGACCCGGCGGGTAGCCGGGTGCGCGGTAGCTATGCCCGATTTATAAAAAGTATTGATTTAACTTTGAATTTTTACTGACAACTATATGACCAGGCACACATCCCTCCCTCATTCCTAAAACAATAATATATACATTCATATAATTATATTGTGGCTAATATTTATTTACAGCTATGATCGATAGCGTTGGGGGACCAGACAGGATGAATAATCTCCTTTCAACATTAAATATCAAACCCATCAACCAGAGAAGTTTAAAAAGCATGGAACGGAGGGCTGGAGGCTATGTTGAAGCTGTTGCCAAAAAGTCGACTCAACAGGCTGCAAATGATTCATTTAGAATGGAGATGGAGTAAGTTCTATACAATGTCATAGCATTGTTTGTTTATGAAACTAGTCATTTGTGTTCAAACCAATTGTTAATAACACAAGGATACAATAAACATGGTGGATACTCTGAATCAAATGAATTCATTGTTTAATGACAACTGAGTGTGTAGATATTGTGGAAATCGTCAAATATAAACAAAGAATATCATCTCATATTGGCGTCGGATATTAAAAAAAACACAATTTGAATTTGGAATTCCTCTTTCACTTTGTTGCTCTTGGTCTGCCTTTAACCCATCAGGTTTATTTCTTTGGTACAGAGACATTGCAGAAGAGGAGAGTCGACAAGCTGCAAAGATCATGGGGGAGGTGATCGAAGATTTAGGAGTTTGTCCTCTACCAGACACACCTCCTGAAATTAGGTCTATTCTTTTCTATATATTTTTAGTATGTACATGTATAGCTTGTGTTGAATAGTGGGAGATATGTTCAGATGGAAATAAGATTATTTTGAAAATATTCCATTGTACAATGTATATGCAACTATTGTATATCATTTAGAAACAAGAAGACACTTTTCCATAGGTTCAGTATTTCTGTGGGACATGGAAGATCAATCAATCAGATGGGACTGTAGAATAAGTGGTTCCATGAGTGAAATTGTTTTAGCACATAAAAGAACCAATATTAATTCGGGTTGGTTCTTTGCATTAGTAAAATGTGTTTGCAGCTAAAAAGTTATACAGTTAAATTCCTCCAGAACAGAAGTTAAACAATAACTGATCTCAAACAAACATTTTGACAAAACATGAACATAATTTATAATTCATTTTTAATTTTTCAGATTATTGATGTCATCCTACTCCTCTACTGTACCAGTAGTTGATGCTAGTTCTGGTGATGAAAGTGGACATTCTGACCAGACTCCTCAAGCATCGAATATTGAAAGTCCACCAGTCTCATCTTCAAACAGGTGAGAATTTTGAAAAAAATTCAGCACAAACAATAGTTTTATTTGATCATGTAGCCAAGTGCATGATTGAGAGTTTAACCAACTAGGCACACAATCAAAATGTTGCCGGTTCGAATCCTAGCAAACCCACTTGATGATGCTTGTTGTGTCCTTAGACAAGTCACTTTATCTGCATTGTCTCAGCCCAGCCAGCTGTATATAGCCATCGACTTCGACTGCAGGTTAACCTGCAATGGTTCACTGGTGTAACATCCAGGTGGGGGGACATTATCCTAAGAGCACCAAGGAAACCGGGTATAATCACAGACCTTATAAGGGACGGTCGGGTAGCCTAGTGGTTAAAGCGTTCGCTCGTCATGACCCGGGTTCGATTTCCGACATGGGTACAATGTGTGAAGCCCATTTCTGGTGTCCCCCGCCATGATATTGCTGGAATATTGCTAAAAGCAGCGTAAAACCATACTCATTCACTCACAGACTTTATTAGCTTTAGCTATGAAAGGATTTAACTTTTAAAATGTACATGCTGTATTTGATTCAAATTTATGTATTGGTATGCCAGACATGAACATTTATTGATGTGTATCAAAGTTTTCTTTTTATGTGTTTCAGTGTAAACACTCCATCAAATCTAGCAAGCCTTGTTGCCAAAATAAAAGAAATTCCTCAGGCCCCACACAAACAACCCGGCAAGAAGATCTTAACATCTAAGAAGCGTGTGAGACTTGCATCAAGATTTCCATGCAAGACCACAAGTGGAATGTCTTGTGCAGTTGATACAGCCTTGCATAAAAGGGGATTTGACAGTCTTACATGTAAGTATATTAAACATTTTGAGGCATTATTTTGTTATTATTACTTTACACAACACTTTATTATGATGATTCTGTTTGCCTAAAAATATACTGACATACATGTGCCTCAGCAATTATATTTTAAACATGCAACCAAACTTTTTAACTTTATTTTTAGTACACACGTTCTTCATGAGCAAGGCCAAATATGGAAAGAAGGTAGTTAAAGCACTAGTGGGTCACCGAACATGCGGCACATGCAAGTGGTGGATGAGGAATAGACCTGGACTACCAATCCGAAAGCACAGATGTGTCCTAAATCACTTCGGTAGTGCTTGGTTAATGGAATGTAAAAGTGGGGTTCAAGGCATCAAGGAGCTTTCTGAGGGTGGGACTCCTGTTGATTACCTGGAAGGAGACGGTGATAATACCATGATTGCTCATATCAAATCAGACTTGAACATTACCATGAAAAAACGGTTTGATAGAAATCACGTCGTGAAAAACATAGGGAAAAGCTTATATGCCTTGCAAGGAAAAAAGCTCAGTAGGAGTGTAATTATGCACATTCAGAAATGTCTCAAATATGCATTCGCCAAAAACCAAGGGAACAAGGAAGGACTGGAGAAAAATCTCAAAGCGTTGATTCCTCATCAATTTGGAGATCACAGTTTATGTTTTCCCAGATTCTGTGGCTTCAGACGTACATCATCAAATGAGAAGTATACTCATACAAGTTTACCCTACAAAGCAGCTCTCAAAGATGATGAACTACAGTCAAAGCTGAAAAAACTGTTCAACCCAGTTATTACTAATGCTGAACAATATGCTGATTTAGGCTCCAGTCAACAGTGCGAACATGCAAATCGCAAAGTCACATTGATGGCACCAAAATCTTTGCATTATGGAAATTCAGAGTCCCTGGACTTTCGTGTTGCAGCAACAACAGCCTTTATTAATGAAGGACGAAGCTATGTGTCTGAGGTATATATTCAACAGAAACTGCTTTTTATTGTTGTTTGTTTTGCAAAAATGTGATTCAACTTTGCTTTTGTTTTCTTTTGATGCATGCTTTTTCATGTTTATTTTAAATATTTTTGAATTAATGTTCGTTTTTCCTGTTTTTTGTATTTGTAGACTTTCAAAGCAGGGTTACAGTTCCAGTGTTGTAAGTTTGTTTTGTATTTTTCAATGAAATACATGTTACAAAAATATTTTTTTATAAAGTATTCATTTATATTGTAAAAAGAAATTAATAAAAGGCTCCTAAGTAAAAGATAGTCAGAAACAGAACAACAGCATACTATTTTGTTCAGGCTGTGTCAGCAACTCATCCTTCTATTTCAGGTCAACATTGCAGCAGGAATTTCTCCCGGGACATTTTCTGTAAAATATGCTGCTAAGCAAATGAAGCGCAGAAAACGTGTACAACTAAAATCCCAATTACCCTCAACAAAAAGAAGACGTGTTACCCTGAAGCAGGAACGTGTAATCGCACAGGGAGCCAATGAAGTGTTAGAAGGGACCACTTATGAGTCAGGTAAGTTTCATTTTCATTAAACAAAGAAAACTAACAAAACGCTTGTTTAAACTTTAATTTTGCCGACTTCCTCTGACTGCAAATAAATATAAATAAAAAATAAGTACCATATGGAAAAGTTTTACGTTTTAGTACAGTACTTATTTCATTTCACAGGTATTGGGCATACCACTAATGTAGATGTTGAGCAGTTACCTGAAGCAGTACCCCGTGGGAAATTCGCGACTGTATCAGCTGGCAGAGAAGCTACGGTTATTACATTTGACTTGGAGACAACAGACCTAAGTAAGTTTGAATTGATTATTCATCTTTGAATGAACTTTTTGAATGATTACACATTTTTTATTTGTTGTGCCAATAGGTCTGTGATTAGTAAAGCATCACCTAAATAAGCATCAAGTGATACATGTACTCATATATCATATTGTATGTACTTGGATTTTAAAGCTTGAACTTTTTTTCAGTACGTGGAGGAAAAATGCCACATATCACACAGATTGCAGCTTCAGATATGGAAACAGGAAAGGGATTCTCAACCTATGTACTTCCAAAAGTACCAATCTCAACTACAGCTCAACAGGTTACTGGTATCATAGTTAATAATAGTGGTACAATGACGGTCAATGGGAAACAAGTTCAGCCTGAAACTGTTCAGTTTGCAGTTGACAAGTTTTGTAAATGGCTCAGTGGGTTTCCCAATGTATTCCTTGTAGCGCACAATGGAAGAAGATTTGATTTTCCTGTATTTTCATCTGCATTGATCAACATCAAGTGTGAAGCACAATTTTTCAACTGTGTATCAGGTCTTATTGATAGCCTACCTGTCTTCAAGAAGGCCTTTCCTGGACAATCGTCATACAAGCAAGAAGAATTAGCCAAGACCTTTTTGCACTCATCATATGAAGCACACGATGCCATAGAAGATGTAAAGGTCCTTGGTAAGCTTGTATCTCACACAAAGAGGAAAATTCAGGAACTTGCTAGGTTCAGTTTCCCACCATCAGCAGGCCACAATCTACTTCTCTTCAACAAAGAAAAGGCCAAACATATCAAAACACTCCATTCTCTCTTAGCCCAAGGTGTCATGAAAATGTCAATTGCCGAGAAAATTGCCGGATCAGGACTGAATCTGGGTCACCTGCGCAAAACAATTTCAGCGTGATGGAGAAGATGGTCTTCGCAATACTTTTACATATAAAAACTCTGAGGGTCAGCCACGTGTGACAGATGTAAAGAAAACCTTTGACGATGTCATTCCGAAATTAGTGCTCTTTCTTAACAAGGACTAAACCAAGCAACAGATGGTTTGTTCTTTCAAATGTGTCATCTTCTGATCGTTATGTTAGTCAGAAATCGTTTCTGTTCAGGTCTGACTGATAAACTTGATGTTGATGTATATGTGAAAATAGAAATGCTTGACGACATGCTTTTGTTGTCTCTGGGTGCAGATGTTCATGACTAAGTTGATTATGATACTTGGAATACATGATACTGTCTCTTTGAATTTTAGAGAAACACCTGATGTATATGTATGTACTAGACACATACGCTCTTCTGCTCCCAATTTGTACATTGTAAATTGTGTATTCATGAGTACTGTATCGCATGCTTTCATTGTTTATGGTCACGTAATATAAATAATGTATTGTAAATAGTGTATTTGCCTATCTATCATCTTCGCTTTCAAATCTGTAAGAAATACAGAAATGTATTTATTCATTCATATCTTTATTAGAAATGACGCATTGACATGTACATGGGTTTGACATTTCAATTGTGTAATTTTCCAAAAAATCCCAATAACTTCACATTCTTGAGTAGTATTGTCATGTAAAGGACAATTTTGCAAGTTGAGAATACAGGGGGAAAATCCAAGTGCTTTATGAGAGATTTTCTTTATTTGAAGTAAATATATGTAATTCTCACATGTATTTCTCATTTGTTCTTAAGGCTCATTCCCTGCTACAATATTATAACATTTCCAGGGTGAAATGACGCACGTTGCTTGGTTGTTTTTATGTGAACTGCTGCAGGCAAGGTCAATGTCAGAGGTCAAGGTCATTGTCAAGGTGAAAAAAAAACCACAGGGAAATATTCATTATTTACACATGTTACCATCACTCATTATACTAAGTCCCTATATTTAGTATTTTCGAGTTGTTGAGGCTTGGTTCTTTGTGGCATTATATTTGGTCAAACAGAAAAATAGCGGTGGGGGGTGTTATTAGGATTGGGGTTATAATACTAATAAATAATGGTAAATTGTTTTTCTTTTGTCTTGTTTTTATTTTATAGTCACTTCAGATGTTTTTACATAGTGTTTTCATATCTATGTGTCTTGTTTGTACTTCCAGAGCAATAAATACAATGTCTCAATTGAAAAAAGACATGGAAAAAAACAAGCATTTCAGAAGCCTAATTACAAGTTCACATGTTGAATGCCTCAATACACTACTTCTGCATTGAATTTACTGCTTATATTTATAAACTTACATGATTTCCCTGCTGATATATATCTATTATGAAATATTTAAGAAATAAATGCCAAGTTCATGATCATTTGAACATACATACCCCTGTTCCATGATTTCGAATTTTGTAGAAAGGGGGGTGGGCGTATAAAAGTTAATGAAACAGATTAACTGAACGGTGAATATTGATAAAACTTTAAAAATAAATCCAGGGTAGGGTGTATATGATAATAAAAGAAAGTGTTTTATGATTTTCAAAACTGCCAATTATACAGGGAATACCTTAAACATAGTTGCAGTTGCCTTTCAATTGTATGCATGTTTTTGCCACGACAGGAAATATTGAAATCATCCACTAAAAGTGATCCATCAATTGAATCATTTAAAACTTTCGATAAGCTATTGATTTTAAAGCTAAATAATGTGACATACAAAATACTGCCTTGTGGGACACCCTGATCCTGATTATAATGATCAGACAGGGTTGAACCCACAGGGACTTGAAATTGCCTGTCAGTTAAAAACTTGGTTATAAATTGAGGCAAAACGGTCTCGCAATCCAAAGTCATATAAATCTTTTAAAAATACCATGTTTCCATGTAGTGTCATATGCTTTTTCGAGATCGAAATATATAGACACTGCATGTTGTTTATTTATTATTGCATTTTTAACAAATGATTCTAAGCGAACCAAATGATCGATTGCACTTCTGTTTTCCTGAAACCATATTGTATATTAGTAATGAGATTATTGGTTTCTAAGTACCAATCTAGTCGATTATTTATCATCCGTTCCATGGTATTGCAAACGCAGCTGGTCAATGATATTGGTCGGTAATTTGACGGATCAGTCTGATCTCGACCGGGTTTGGGTATCGCGACAGCTATAGCTTCACGCCACGGAGGAGGAAACTTCTCTCAGGTCCAAATTACGTAAAAAATATTCAACAGTGTTTCTAAAGATGATTCTGGTAAGTGCTTCAAGAGTTGATAATGTATGTTATCAGCTCGTGTGTCAGTATCATGAGCTTGTCCAAGGGCAGTGTGGAGTTAATGAATAGATAATAGTTCATTGTAATCCTCTCCGTTTTCTGAATGAAAATAAATAGGTTTCTTTTCTTGCTGTTTTTGATACTTTTGGAATTGATGTATATATTTAGATGAGGAAGAGTGTTTAGCTAAATTTTCACCAAGTTTATTTGCAATAGCTGATTTATGAGTTAGTGAATGGTCCCCATTATTGAGATGATGTATACTAGATTTAGTGCCCTTACCTTTGTTTCTTTGGATCATGTTCCACACCTAGGACATGGGCGTTCTTGAATGTATTTTTGAGACATAAGTTCGCCGTTTACTTTGCTTAAATGTACGCCGTGCTTTTGCGTTCAAAGTTTTAAATTTATTTAAATTATGGACCATAGGATGGCGCCGGAAATAACGCTCTGCCTTTTTCCTCGCCTTCCGAGCTCGCTTGCAGTCATCGGTAAACCATGGTGTAAATATGTTTTAGAATTATCATTAAAAAGGCATAGAGTATTGTTGGATTATGACCGTTCATATCGCCCATTATAATACAGGGTCTAGGAAGCTGGTCATAGAGAGCTTGAAGATCGGACTGTTGAAGAGATACAGATTGAGAATGTAAAGAGAGCACAGAGTGAAAACAATGTGCATGGTGATACGAACTGCGATAGCTTGTAGAGTGGTATTGAGAGGAACAGGGCTATGAATAACACCCTGCCTCACCAAGATTGAAGAACCCCCAGTTGGTTTAGTCCCTGGAGGTGAAAAGAAATTATATGAATCATATTGTCTGATGTTTAGTTGATCTGTTGTTTTAAAGTACGTGTCCTGCAAACAAAAGGCTAATGGCTTGAAATCTTGGGTTAATAGCTGGAAATCATACAAAATTTTGTTTAGTCCTTTGCAATTCCATTGTATTATAGGGTTCATACAGGTCATGGTGGTTCTACTGGGGACCTAGACCGTTAAAGCGGTCTACTCCCATGATCTGTTTGTGATGGAGTGATCTCCATCGCCAAAGGTTTAAATTGGCTATGAACCTTAACAGTCGTGCACTGAGAAGAAGGCACCTCTAAGTGTTGGAGGGCCCTTGCTGTTTTCTTCATTTTCTTTGTCTCTGTCTTTGATAATTTAAAATCTGATGCTGGTTCTTTTGTTTTATTTGGAGTCTGTGAAGGTTGAACAACCTCCGTTTGTGACGCTGATGTTGCGGTATCATGCTGAGATGTTTGAGTTGTAATATCTGGCAGCATCCTCTGATCACCAGGCCAGGAGATGGTTTGGCATCCTGTGGACACTGTGGCAACTTTGGTTGCAGGTATAGTACTCACTGCGGCTGAGTAAGATTTTGCTGAGGCTTTTGGAGACTGTGACTGAACTAATGTTTTAGCTTCAAGAAAAGAGATATTGTTTGTGTGCTTGATTTTTAAGATTTGTGATTGAAGAAGAAATGCTGGACAGAGTTTAGCTGAGGCGAAATGGTCCCACTTGCAATTGGCACATTTTATAGCAGCCGTGCTCTCAGTGCTCTCATGTGATCCACTGCAGCGGGCACAGATTTTACTGAGAGTGCCGATCTTTGCACCATGACCAAATTGTTGATATTTGTAACATCGGAGCTGGTTTGGTACATAAACCTCCACTCCGATGTTCAAATATCCAGCTTTGATAGATGTTGCTATTTTAGATAGGGAAAAAGTAAATAGATAAGTGTGAGTCTGGATAATGTGGTCATCTTGTTTTCGTGTGAATCGTTTGACAGCTGTTACACGTCGTTTTGTCAGATCAGTCACAATCTCATCTTCGTTCATGTCAGACAGACATCGGGCTCTGTCTCTTACAATGCCCCGTCACGAGTTTAACATTCTGAGTGCCGAGACAGCAACCTCTAAATTTGCAAATTGGCTGATTGAGAGCAGGTTCAGAGATTGCTGTCTTCTTGCACACTCTACAAGTATGGAGCCATTACGCAGTCGGGAGACATTTTCTACTTTGCCACAACAACCATCGATGGCCTTGGAAATGGCAAACGGATCAAATTTTAAGGGTTGGTGATCTGAAGCTTCGCGATTACAATGAATCGAGCCGGGGATCTAAGTGTAGATCAGTTACTTCATCAGAAGAGCTGGCATCTAAGTGTTTTCTTTTTGAACCAGGGTATTTTGTTGACATAAAGAGAGAAAGTGGTTCTGCACCCGTGCTCCCCACCCGCCATGGAGTGTCAACAAGGACAGTGATGTAGTGGAAACCAACTACAAACACCAGGGCTACAGGGATGTTATACTCCAGCAAATATGACATGAACAGCTATATTTGTCTACTAAATTTATTGCCAAGCTGGTTCTGCCAATAACAATAATTTAGAGACATACAGAATTCAGCGGTCAACATTGGCCCATGAGCCACCGCCTTCTGGCAAAGGACTCTAGCCAAGAGATTTATTTCAATAAATGTGTTTTCAAAATACCAAGCAATTCGTGATACACAATACACATGCATGTACTAAATTAGAATTGGAAGTAATACACACAGGGCTTGACTTGACCAGCCGATTGATAGAACCGGGCCCATTCTACCACCTATCTAGATGAGGTTAGGGTCGAAGTGTTGTGTTGGGCAAAAGGAACACCGGTTCCTGGCCCCAGTGCCCTCAACTACCAGACTCCCT